GCACCCTCAGCCTCCTGCACCCCCCGACCCGGCGCACGTCCCCCCACTCCCGTGGGCCGCCTTCTCCTCTACTGCGCTGTAACGGCACCTCCTCCGAAGCAAGATAAAGAAACGTCAGGACGGGCCTGCAAAGCCACCTGGGACAGGCACGGCTTGGGAAGGGGCCGTGCGCTTGCTCGTACCGCCGGGAAGCTTAGCTACGCCGTCTACATCTACCTACCAAAAAATCAAATGCTGTTTTTGTAGCCTAAGGCTACAACATGATAGCAATCCCTTCCTAAGGAAAATACTGCTCACTTAATCTTGATGCTAAAAAGGTCAAGATTTCCTTTAAAAGCCCAGAATACAACAAACAATGTTAGCATACATTTAAAACAAACAAACTCAACAAAAAAACAGGGCAGTGACAGATTTTGAACTTGCTGCTAGAAGAACCTGGCTGAACACAAACAGAAGCAGGAGGTCACCGATTTAAGAGACATTAGAAGTTAGCAGCCAGCGCACATGGCTGCCTCTGCTGTTGTTCAGCAGCGACGACCGCACAGGAACAACCCAAGGCAGTTAGTCCCCGTCCCTAGGACCGGCTTGTGTAGAGCAGCGTCTGGAACCACACTGCTCGGTGCTTTATTTCCCCTTGGTCAGTTGTGAAGGTGGAGGAGGGCTGACTTCAAACTCTGTTTTTCCACTTCCACATCTTTAATGAGGAAGCCGAATGCCTTGTGGCAGTGGAAGTTGATTTCCCAGACGAGAAGGGAACTACTAACCCAGCCTAATAGTGCAAATCAGAAAGGTGACCACCAGAAATATAGACTGGCACAGAAATACTGCTCTTCTCAGCTTTGGCCACTGTTCAGACTCTCTCTTGCTGATCTGGTAGGCACAGCCAATTTGTCTGCTGGTCTATTTCTATATTGTGGGTTTCGCTGCTGCCCTGCAATAGTTCCCAGTTCAGGACTTCTTACCACTTGCAGAATTTCTTGAGGTATTCACTACAAACCTAAAATAATCTATAGCATTATTGCAAGATAAATTGAAAGAATATGACCCTACTTCTAACGAGGGATACCCAAGCATGGACAGGCCTTACAAACACTCCCAAAATAGTGTTTGTGTCAGCAGCATATCAAATGCCAAGCTTTAAAACTTAAACCTATACTATACTTGATGTTATAAAAACACATCCCTCAAACAGAGGCTAACTCATCCATACAGATGTATTAAAGTTCCTCAGAATTCTATACATACAGAAATTTAGCTCCTTGTGTTTAGTCTTGAAGTGGCTATTTACTTTTTTCTCCATAAAAGCCAGTATTCATCCTCTATGTAACTTGTCATTCTGAGGGTTGCTGTACATGCAGTACATGGGTTTACTACCATATATAGTTCATGCAGATGCGCAACTTACTACAGCAAGGAGAAACGTGAAAATGGTTTCCCAAACTCTCGCTCACATGTGAACCTTTTAAAATTAACAAAAGGTGTCATGGTCGGGGGAAAAAACAAACCCGCTTCCGTCTCCTCTAAGCACAATATGCTTCACTTGAAATACAGGTTCTGGCTGAAGTCCTGAATTTTAGATAGAATGCACACTATCACCTCCTGGAAAAGAGTATGCGTTGTGATCCCTGATATAAAGCATTTTGTAATCAGGTAACGTGAGCTATTTCCTCCTGCTACTATCTTGAAAGTACCTGCTCCAAAAATGCTGTCAGCGAGGGCTGTGGCTGTGCTTCGCACTGCACACTACAGCGTTATCAGAAGACTGCCTTGTAGACAAACAGGCTAATTTCTCCTAGAAGCATGGAATGAGTCACATCCTGACAAAAGCACATCTCCACCAGCGAACAGTTTCAAGATGACAAGAGTTTAGATAGCTGTAATCAACTCTTCCTTGTGAAACAGAGAGCTAGAACAGTGCTTAGGAAACATGAATGGATTTTGTGTGTTTTCTCTACCTGACATGGGTGAAAACAAAAATGGCTGAATGGCACACTGTAATTTTGCACTTATCTACAGCACAGCAAAAATACTACAGTACTTTTTTTCTTTAAAAAATACCAGAATAATTTCAAGCAGTCTTTACTATTTTAAGTGTAATGACTAACTGCAATCTCTACAAAAACTTCATAGTCAAAAAACCTTGCTGACCTGAGCATTACGGTACAGCACAGCTTCCCAGCCCCCTAACTGAAGAATCCTCTTTAAAAACAGAGCTACAAGAACATCCCATTACGTGCCATGCTGGCGCAGAGGACGCTGGCCACCTCATGCGCTCCCAGGCTAAATGTTGAACACTCATTACTGTATTCCTCCGTTTGCCTCAGTGTCCGTGAATGTGAAAGGGTTTTTTGGTGAGCAGAGGAGACGGGACACCTCTCACTAACCAGGATTCTTTCCATGAACTAAGCCGTTCCAGACAGAGCTTGGAAGGTTCACACAGAAACTCCTAATGATTTGGGCTGAGGATTTTACCACATTGGGCTATCAGAGGATAAGAGTTTACGGTTATTGTTAATGCTGCAAATACAGTTGGATTTTGTTTTGTTCCCCCAGTGAAAATTGGCACTTAGCCCCCTCCCTCTGCTTTTGTTTATCCAGAGTTGGAGAGCCCCCCCCGTTGCTTTATGCTGTAGAAACGCAACCACTGCCCTAAAGAGCTTACTTTGTAGTGGGACAGAACAGAGAGGATGGGACGCGAGTGTTACACGCTTCTCCCTCCACGACAGAGCTTGAGGAACTTGAGGACACACAGGACACATGCTGGATAGGTAATCTCTTCAGTCTCAAGATCACAAGATGCTTAATTTTCAGCCTCAGTACATGCAGGCTTAATTTGGTCCTATTTGTACAAATTGAAGCCCCATTAAAAACAAGATCGGAAACACAAAGACAGCGGCAGAACTGGATCCTTACTGTACCTGGAAGAGATTAGTACTGCTTAACTGAGGAATAAAGACTGCATCTTTAAGAGACACATTTTATTTAACACACAAAACAGCCACTTTGCTGTTTAAGTTTTGGCTGTTAGTGCATTAAATTGACAAATAAGGCCTAAAAAGCTCTATTTCTGAGAAACCAGAAACATTACTCGCCATTCTATGGTTTGCTGACAAAGAAGAACGTGGCGATAACGTTTGCACAAGCTCTCTTTTGGGTAGTCTGAGCCTACCTCGAGGGGAATTTTGTCATCGATATACTTGCAAGATCAGGCACTTCATAACAGGGTAAAGAAAACATGGTAATTTCAAACCTACTTCCAAATCCCAAGTGGGTGATTTAAATAACTGTAGGTCATTACTCTCCATGAAAGCTGAATAAATATTTTTCTAAAATATTTATTTTCAAATTTCTAAAAAGTAATATGAAGTTTATGGCTACCCCATGCTGATCTGCATGCTATATAAAAGATTCTCCATGGACTTAACTGATCCTGTTTAGGGACTCAGTGGAACTACACTGGCAAGCAGTGACAGAGGGGAGCATACCGGAGGCTTTCAAATCCTTGCATGCAGGGAATACAACTATAACCATAAGCCTAACGAGGACCGCAAACTCAGCTCGATGGTGGCAGCACAAAAAAGAAATAGTATTTCCGTTAGCAAAGCCATCTGCTAAAGCCAGGCACCAGGAAGAAATTAAGTCTTACACGCACAAGTAAACAGAAGTACTTGCAAAGCCTGATTCACATATTTCAATTTCAGAACAATAAATATTTCTCTTCCCATAGTCTCTAAAACTGGAATGTGTTCTGCTCTGCCACGTCTTCCCTCGCTCAGCCAGGGCAGCCAAGTTACACACGGGCTGCACTCTTTGGCACTGCAGAAGGAACAAACAGGATATGGCATAGGTAAACACATTAATTTCCTTTGCTATCCTACAAATGTAATTTGTGCCCTTAAGCACTGCACATTCATCTTGATATTGGAGTATTACGTTGAGAAATCATCTTTTGCAAGTTTAAACAGACCACTAATGGCGGCTGAACAATTTTACTTCTAAACAAGCTAATTAGTCTCTCTACTTACTAAAGCTGATAAGGATCATCATCGTCTAACATTTGTTTTTAAAAGATAGGAGTTTTACAGCAAACAACTCACATTTTTTGTTTCTGTTGCTATTGTTTGCACAGTGGTAGTGAGCAAGTAGGTAACTTTCCACAGGTCATAGCAGTATTCTGTACTCTAAAACAAGCAGCTCAAGTAATGGATTATTTTTCACACAAAATACTGACATGAACCAAAAGCTTTTTAACAAGACTTGATAAAATTAACACTTCTGAATTTCCCAGTTACAGAGCAAGGGCAGATTGCCCTGCAAGCCCCACAAGGAGGGCTGGGGGAATAAACATTTAATATTTCTAATGCACAAAAATAGTCAAGAAACTTTACTTCTGCCATTCTCCTTTTTTCAGTCTTGATTTTTTTTGTAGAAAGAACAACAGAGAGACGCATCACCATTATTAAAGCCCACCACTTCTTTCTTAAGACCTAGTACAAAGCAGAGCAAAAGGATTCTTTTTTGAATGCAGGGCATTTAATAAATTAGTGGACAAACTGCTTAAACTGATGATACGTTTTCACAGATAAAAGTGCAACTATTTTTCTGAAAAGAAAGGCAAGTTTGGTTGTTCCTCAGCACTAAGATAGTTTAGGTACACCAAGAGGTAAGTACTTATTTGGCCACAGAAGATGCTAGCTCAAGTAGAATTTGCTTCTTTCTCCACGTCATCATCGTCGTCAACAACCTGAAATCAAATCCAGAAGTAGCTTAGGTAAACAGTTTAAACTCTCAGTCCCGCAGGATTGCACAGGGAATTTATTACATTAAACCCTCGCTGCACCCAGGGAGAACAGCAGTTATTCTGTACTGCTGAATGACAATGGTCACATGGCAAAGGTAAGAAAAACTTGTGAATCAAAAATACCAGGAGGAAATGTGGCTGAAATAATAGGAGCTGGTCAAGTTATTACAAAGGCCACTAGAACAATCACTACAGCATATCAAATTTTTAATGATAAAGCAAAAGAATCTGCAATTTAGGGGACAAAAGCTCATTGCTTATTATCACACAAAGTCACCAAGCACAAAGGCAATGATCACTGGCAAACACAGAGGGTCCGGTTCTGGGCTCCTCAGTACAAAGAGGGACGTGGGCATATTGGAAAGAGTCCAAAGGGGGATCGCCTCCCTCAACCTGCTGGCAACACTCTCCTTAACACAGCCCGGGATATCGTTGGCGGCCTTTGCCAAAGGCACCTTGCTGGCTCAAGTTCAACTTGGCATCCACCAGGACCCTGGGTCCTTTTCTGCAAAGCTGCTCGCCAGCCAGGCAGTCCCCAGCGGATTTCGGCGCACGGGATTGTACAGGACTCTGCAAGAGTTCTGTATCTTTTGCTAAGATACAGCTTCTGACTTGGAAAAACTGCATCTATACATCCTGTACTTTCGCTTAACTTGCCAACCTGTCCACGCTGGAAAGGGACAAAGACCTCCTTTTCCATTTGAAGGAAAACAGCTATTATCTCTCACCAACCCACCTGTTCCACGCCTTCTACTTCAGGGATGTAGAATTGAAGCATGTTCTGTATCCCATTCTTCAGGGTGATGATAGAACTGGGACAGCTCGTGCACGCACCCTGCAACTTCAGCTGCACAATCCCATCCTCAAAGCCTTTATAAATAACATCACCACCATCTTCTTGCACTGTTGGCCTGATGGAACACGATACTCAGTTTAAAGCAAGTATAGCTGAAATACGTTTCCTTCCAGCAATCTTCAGTAAAGCTCAATTTAATACACTCAAATAACTGTCAAGGTATAGTAAATAAATGCCTCTTTCTCTACAACCACCTGGTAAATCCACCACCAATGTCCCACACCTCATTCTTTGCTGCACTCTCTCACATTGATGGCTACTGTTTTTCCATAGGTCATTCATTCCAAATATGTTTTGCTTAATGCAGCAGCATAGGAAGGAACCATTGAAATTCTAGGGGCAAGGGTAAGCGCCTTAGAGCAGAGCTTGATTCAGCCTGCAAAGACATACTGGTTTGCCTCGAGGCCCTCTCCACGTGTAATGATGATTGCCTCAGTTATGTGCCAAATATAATAGGTGTGTCCTGCCACCCGATGCATGTGCATCTGTTACCTGACTAGGGACAGTGATAAGAAGCCCTTAAGTGCTTCCCTAAGTAAATACGCAGTTCGCCATAGTTTACACAGGACAGAAAAAAGCTCCAACTATGTAAAAGCTTAATCCTGCTAACGGTGAAGAAGCCAGCATCTGATAAGATCACATCCCAGGACTATTCGCATTTCTGCAGCCTGGTCTCCTTTTGCAAGCAACACATGCCCAGCATTGTAACCGTATCCCATAGCAACATTTTCCAGATCACGCTAGAACCATCACGTTACTCTAACAGAAGCTCTTTATACTGATTTCCAAAAGAACTCTTTTGAGAGCTACACTCCTAAGAGAATCATCTATGAATTGGACATATTTATTAACAACTCACCATAGCAAATTATCTCCATTCCAGAAAGCCAAAGAACATGACTAAGAATTCCATTTTTCTTGTTCGAAATTAACTTAACACACTAGAGGACCTTTCAGATCTACATTCCCTCCATCCTGCACCTTCTGACGACTTCTTTGCGCATATTTTTGAACGACTAAACAATAAATGCTCTGTACGTACCAGCAGTTTATATATAGCTTCTGTAAACTATCCTGCTATAAAGTGAAGTAAGATACACTAGGGCTAATATTGTCATCAACAGCTTCTTGGTCCACTGAGGGGGGACGGGGGAAGGAAATGAAAGGAAGAAAAAGGTGGGGAAAACCAGAAGTTTGGGCAGAAATTCTGTGACCGTTACACAAGGCCACTGGGAAATCAAGGACTAAAATACCACACGGAGCTTAAATGACCACATACCCAGCAAGAGCAGGGCCTCCGGAAGCTTATTTTCTATCATGGCTTTATACAACAGTATACTTGGGTTACGTGTTTTCAACACTTAATACATAAGCTTGGGAAGAAATATTCCAGCTTATTTCTGCTTTTCTCCCTCTTTCCTTTCAGTAAAATTAACCACCACCGTTATGTCAGCTGTGAGATAACCAAAACTGTGTTTTTAAGTATCACTTTTAAAATGCAGCATCTAAAAAAATTAAATAAAAAGCCACAGTTCATTGCAATTTCTGGAAAAATTAAACTGAATTCCACGATTTTGACTCACATACAAGTTTCTGGTTCCTGTAATTTGTGAGCTGAGGAAGACGTCGCCATCAGATATCACAGCTTCAGAAACACATCAGACATTTTGCTCTACATCTAAAATGTCAAGTTGCTTACTCCTTTCAGCTCACTTTGGAAGGCAATTAAATATATAAAAATATACTTCAAGTAAACAACATGATCCATAGCCACTCTTGAGACTTCATTAGTTACCACTAGTTTTTAAATTCAAGCTGTGTTAAAATACCAGTAAAATTGCAACAGAATAAAACGACAAAATCCATTGAAGCCCAGACAGCGAGGGAAACCCACGAGTAAATTTTCCTTTGGGGTATGATACAAGAGTATAAACCACTCTGGAATACTTGGAAGGTAAGGACAAGTACAATTAAGACAAAGATGAATACAAAAGAGATAAAAAGTTACTCTAAAAGCAAAGACTGTGTTGTTTTCACTATTTAAAAAGAACCAGGACCTGTTTAAGTGCACTGTGGAGGGCAAGACTGTACACTGTTCTAAGATCATTCAGCAACAGGGACTGTGCAGCACATAGTTTGCTTTAACAGGAAAACTAGATAAACAGTTTTCAGTTAGAGGAAACAACATTCTCAGCTGTAGCCAATTTTGCACTTTAAACCCCCACACTAAATGTAGAACCTTGAAATCACACACACCCAAGGAAAAAATGCCTTGTTCCCTAAGTAAATCCAAACCCAAGGCTAACTCACTCCACCTAGCAGTGATGTTCCCAGTTTACCTTATTCTTGTATCCAGCAGTTCTTTAATCATCAGTACAACTTCATCATCCTCTTCTGATGCAGCTTGGGAAAAGAAAAATGTGCACATCAGAACTTGGAGAGAATTCCAATATGATTACTAACACTGTATATCCATAATGGCAGAATGAAATAGTATAAAAACCATTGCTGAGATGGCCGAAACCAAAAGGCAGAAGTCTCAAATCGGAGTAACTATCTTTTCCTGCATTACTCTTACTTATACCCCAGGCTTTCATCAACAAAAGACAGTCCAGAGTTCTCAACAGGCAAAGGCCTTAACAGACAGTAGCAGTGTCACCTTTTAAAGGAAGCAACAACTAACATTCTAATGCCGAATAAGGATGTGTGGGTTAAGGCAGGATCCTCAACCTAAAAAATTCAGCATTTAGCAGCTCTGGATGCAAATTTAAGCTCACCGTTAGTCTCACAGAAGCATTTATAAAGACAACTTTTTCAAATAAAATAACGTCTATGTTAACATTGAAATTAAATCCAAACATAACAGAACAGAGAGGAATTCAATAATCATAATCTTCCTTAAAACACTGGAAAAATTGTTTAAGCTGCTAAGTCGCAAACAAGAAAATGAAAGGCAAAATACTGCCCTTGAGTTAAATTGTAAGTTAGTCTCAATTACTTTCTATTACAGTTTGGAAAAAGATTTCTTACTATTTCTTGTTCATTTAAGACCATAAACCTATCATTAACACGCAGACATTAAGCCTGGGCACTCTCTCGATTTAAGGAGGGAAATAAAAAACCTTTGCAGGTGCCCATACAAAAAGGACCCGCAGCAACACCCAATAGCTTTCTGAACAGTGTCTCAGTAATTGCAGAAGTATTTCACACACACACAGCCTAACGGAAGACGGCCCACACTGCCAAAACACATCGCTCAGCGCAGCTCCTGGGAAGACATGCTCCTCATCCTACAGCAGGGAAGAACCAGGCGTGGTTCAAGGGCAAGCAACTCCTTTAGACAGAGCGGCATTGCTTCCGCTAGAACATACACGTCCTGCAAATTCTCTCCTGTGGTACTTTGAGCGGTGCATGCTTCTCTGAGGGACGTGTGGAGGCTCTTCTGGATGTCACAAAAACCAAACCCAAAGGCAGATACCAGCCTCTTAAAACAAGAGTTTGTTTTACCTGTATCTGTCCTAGGTGCCTCGTCAGTAACTACAGGTAAGCCGGAGGCAAAGAAATCCATTATAGTTGCATAAATATCTGGTTTCAGTAAGTTCCAATCCAGGTCCTCACTCTCCTATGAGAATCAGAAGGGGGGGGCGGGGGGGGAAAGAACAACAACAGAGTATCCACCTCCTAATAATAAATTACACAGAGATTCTTCTTACATTACAAATATCATAATGAGCTCTCACGTTTGATGCACAGATTTCATTTCATAGTTTTGTCAAGTCCAGCTTTGCCAAAAAAGTTCAGTAAGACTCAATTTATAATACTCAACAGAACGGTTTCCTTGTTTGCAAGCCAAGTGCTATTAAAATATTAGCTTAAAGAAGTGAAAAATAAAGTCTCCTAAGCGCATTATTGACACTTATTTTTACCAAACTGTTTCAGAGACTCACATTTGTTTCATTCTGTTTAATTTTGAGCCAAATTATCATTCACTGAATTGCCCCGTGCTCTTCACACAGTAAGAGCATATATAGAGGGTTACTACGCAATGCCTTATCTCTGCTGACATGAGCTCCACGCCTTGGGTAAACACAACCCTGCCTGCAACGTACCCCATCCTGGTCACACAACCATCTCATTTGGAAGCGTTCTCTGGAGGTCACCTAGTCCCGCTTCCTGTTTGACGTGAAGCCAACTTCCAAGTTGGCCACGTTGCACAGGGCCCAATGTTGACCATTTCCAAGATCAAAGAATCTACAACTTCTCTGGGCAACCTATTCCAGTGCTTACCCAGACACTGTGATATTATTTTTCTTTTAGATTAAAGACAATTTCCTTTACTGCCTCTGGTACTTTCACTACGCATATCCAAGAGTCTGACTGGATCTCCCCTATGGCCATCTATTAAACAACTGAATCTCAGCTCATCTTTTAGTACATTTGAACCTCTGTTCTGCTTACCTTGGTGATTGTGATGAAGTCTGGTCCAAAGAAAATACTTTTAACTCCTTCAATTCTGAATAACTGTCTGTTAAGAAAACAAAAAAAACCAAAAATGCACCCACATTTCAGGCAAACTCCTGAAGATTTATTTAAGCTGCCACAAAAAAAGAGTTCTAGAACACATTTCTATTCAAAAATAAGCACTAAAACCAGAACCATTAAGATAAACTCACAGTTACTTCACTTACAACTTACTAAGAACCAGGAGATCCTCCTCTGAGAAGCAGTGTACGTACATAGTAAAACTGAACACATCCTACAGGACTTTTCCACAAGACACGTGAAAGAGTTACTTTCTCTCTCATTCTTCTTTGGGGGTGAAATTACATTATCTATATAAAAACGTATTTATTCAGCATCAAAACCAGTAGGTACCTATTGTTTCAGGTAGAACTGGTGCAAATACAAGGAATGTTCCCCATATTAAGGCAAGTTATTTGAAGTAATTGAGCTTAATAAAAACTGTCTTCAATTCTGTTGCCATTAAATAAAAGTAATAGTGCCAAGCAGTCCATAAGGCTTTAATACACCAACTCACTTTGTGAGCAGTCTTCCATACTTTTAGTCATGTGCACGGCACGTGAAAAATCTGAAGATTTAATAAAAGCTCAAGATTCATACCAAATTGCTTGAGATGGCCCCATACAGCACCCAACAACCAGGTGGTAAATTAGCACACAACCAAAGCAAACAAGAACTTAGGTAATAGGAAAGAGCATATTTTTGACAATGTTTTAAGCAGAATGAGAACGTAAAGACCAAATTCCACAAGTGGTTAAATAAAACCCAACAAATTCATCCAGAGAATAAATAAATTATGTTACTCTTGAAGAGAAAGGGGGGAGGGGGTATTAAGTATTTAATTAATTTAAATAACCATTAAAAGTAGGAGGTACCTGGAGTTAAAGACAGCATTAAGGCTGTAAGAGTGTTTTTGTAATTGGGGGGGGGGGAAGAGGAGAGAGAGAAAAGATATTCTCCTGAAAGACTGGAAAACATCAAAAATGCACTGAATGAAGGAATTGGAAACCTTATCACAAAGGTATGTGTTATGAAAAATGACAGAAGGAATTTCACAGTAGCCATTTGAAAGAATTTCCACACATCGAACAGTTAAACATGTATTGGGCCTTTACATCACTAAACCAACTGGATTTTAAAGTTACTTAAACAACAAAATTATGCAAGTGCACCAAACTATCCTAGATTAATTAAATAATCCTCCTCCCTCCCCTTCAGAAAGCTTCTATTACTTCTTGGGAAAATGAATATTCCTTTTTAAAATAAAGGAGTATTCCACTTACAAAAACTGTAACCAGGGGTTTACTCTAGACAATTTTTTCCATTAACCTGCACAATTGCATAATCAAACTGGTTTGCCACGGTACACATTCTAGCACATACATCTTCATTGACGAAAACCTCTACCTGCAGATATATGCCAAAAAGCCACCGACAGTCAACTGCATTCTGCAACCTGATGCACTTTGGCAGATCAGATCCTACAGCTTCAGCGTTCCGCTAACACGTTTTGATGTCCTCCAAGTAATAAATACAATGTGAAAGGTTTTTAAGTCACAGAGCTTTGCTTGTAAAGATCCTGTTTTCTCTTAAACAACTCTGCAAGAGACCTTTGGAAACGTCAGAGCTGCGTGCTTGATAACCCTACAGTTCCTGAAGACACTATCACGTGGAACAGCTTCTACTTTTCCATATAATTCCTCCCCCCCACAAAGCTGACTTAAACTGAGACCTACAGAGGTAACCTACTGCAGCATTTCTAGATCTCATCCTTAAACTGAAGCCCTTCCACCCATGTAACAGATAAAGTTTCTTTTCAGAGGCTAATGTGAAAGCAATGACAAACATGCAAAAATGGATGCTTCCAAATATTCACAGAGACACTTGTGATGGTGCTCCAAACCCCCTCTATACCAAGATGATACGAATCAATTATCTGCTCAGTGATTCTTACTCCAGATTATGCATTTTGGTATTGAAAGGTGCGACTCCCAAGACCTGTTATAGATCCAGCCTGAAAGAGTGGGCCAAAACTGGCGTTCCTTTGACTGAAACATTATAAACCTTTTGTGAAGGAAAAATCCATTGGCTTTGAAGTTCAGGTTAGCACCAACATCTGCCAAAGCCAGCAAGCTACTAAATTTAATACGTAGTATTTGGGGATTATTTACTTCCTTATGCTGCCTATTTCCCAATTACGAAAAGTTGCACGATATCCAAGGAACTACCTGAATTAAGAGTGTTCTAATGGGAATGATTTTGCAAGATCAGGGCCGGAGGTCTCCACGGTAATGCAGCAACTATTCGAGAATACTGATTTATAATACCATTAAATTCAGTTGCATAAAGTAGACCTTGATGCATTCTGCTGTGATACAGCCGTGGGGAGTACAGACGCACAGAAAGACTACTTTAGTAACGACAATCTACCCAGCTTTAATTTTATGCACAAGTAAAATGGCATGAAAAACTGAAATCCAACCAAGCTGTTCCTAAGGAGGAGCAGAATGATCAGATGCTGTGCTTGTAGACACACACCCCATACTGGTCCCCCAAACAAATTATGATGGTTTTAATAATACCTTGCTAAAGGTGAGCAAAACGCTGCAGCTGGTGTGGAAAACTCCATAGTCCTTGACTCCAGCACTTCCTTCCCTGGAATAAACTTCAAACTATTTGGATTTGGTGTGTCCTGAGTTTGAATAAACATGCCTCTTACTGGAAATAAAAACAAACAAACAAACAAAAAAACAAAAAGAAGAAAAATAATGTAATCAATCCATCAAACCTATGTAGCTTAAATGAAAGTCAAGGATCCTGATTATTTAGCAAGCCAAGACCAGGGTCATCACTGTGCCGTAGCAAACAGCAACGATACTTTAAAAAGACAATGCAATGGGTTCCGAATGCGTCCAGACTGATGTGAAGGCTGATAAACACAAGCATGTTCTCTCACAGGAAACAAGATGATAAATGCAACCTTGTCTTTGCTTCTTTTGCTACCTTTTATTTACTAAAAAGCAGACTACTGCCCTAGCATGGAACTGCACAAGGCCAGTACCTCCCTCACTTTCTACTGAAGGCCAAGAGACGTAACCTTCATTTGTCTGTTGGGTTTGGGGTTTTTGATTTTATGATCCTTAAATGCTGGGAAGTCCCTCCTCCAGCATTATCACTTTCTGTTCAAAGCTTAATCAGTTTTACTAACCCTCTCTGGAAGATACACAACTTACAGGATTTGGTTTTTATTTCATTTTTCAGTACTATAGAAAAAGAAAAACAAGCATAACAACAGTTAGAGTGAACCACACCCTGCTCACAGTATTTTCCACAGAGTAAAAAATTACTGTAAGCTATTTTACTTATCCTCCAGAAATTGAGCTGACCAAACAATTCAAAATAAAATGACTTTAATTTTAAAATTAACTTTAATTTTAAAATAAAATTACTTTACACTGGTAAAGATGTTTAAAAGATAATTTTTTACTGACGCTCCTTTTGCGGTGTAGGTATTTTCTTTTCCCACTAGAATATTGTAAAAAACCCTTATCTTCATTAAAATTTAGTACTCTACCATTTAATGGTGTACATTTAATAGTGTATTTTCCTGTAGACATGTCTACACAGCCTATGCTTGATGTCACTGAAGCTGAACATCAGTTAGGGACAGTTTCCCATCTTCTACTTCGCTTTCTAGTTCTCTTTCTAGCTCTCCCTGCATATCAAACACCACAATGATATACGAACGTTCAGGAAAGAAAAAATGCACTTTGAAAACAAAAAATGTCTAGGAACTGATCTATAAATAAATTATACTTGAGAAACAAGCTCACATAACTTCAAAAAATATGCAATAGAGGGATTCAAAGCAGCAAAGAGAGCTGACATTTTCATTTTCGTAAACTGCCGTTTCGCTCATGACTCCCTAGTATTAGATGACAAATCACGCTATTTACAAATTGCCAAATTGTTACTGCATGCATCTTTCACGGTAACAACCCATTTGACTTGAACATACACAATGGCAAAGTACACACACACACACACACTACATTTTCTTCTTCTTTTTTTTTTTTTTAAAGGAAAAAAGACTTAGTACGGAAGTACTTAGCTTTAACATGAAAAGAATAATCCTGACAGAGCAAGCAACTTTCTCCGTGGGGATGGAAGAACTACTCATCTTCCAGATCCAGCTGGCATCCAAAATCACATCCAGCCTAACAGCACAGTTTACAAATAACCAACAACGGGGAATTTGGATGGCGTAAATTAAGTGCACTCTGCCCATTTCTTTGAAAGCAATGGGTCACTAACAGCTTTCTTACATTGCTCATCCAGTATCTCTAACACCCTGAAGCACAAACGGCTGTGTCATCTCTCACAGAAGATGCCCACGTGGGTAGCCGCTGTATTTGAGAAGTGCGTTCTGCAGCTGAAGATCTGCCTTCCTAAGACCAGGCTGTTCAATCATTAATCAACCTGGAGAGTTCTTTGCACAGCTGTGGGTTACCCGTTTGGAATTCACCGTTCGGTAGCCGGTAACTGGCTGCATTTACACCTAACACCTATATCGTTTCTCCCAGCCCTCTACGGAGCGCTGCGTATACCGCTCACTGCCCTGCTCTGCCACCTGCGCGAGGTAGGAGGAAGGGACCAGATAGAGGCCGAGTTCAGTAGGACACTTGCAGAAGCAGGTAAAATACCAGAGTCTATTTATTCATCAGAGTCTGCCTGTTGATTAGAACTGAAATAGAAAAAGTGGCGCTGGACCAGGTAAGAGCAGACTTTTCTGGAACCAAAATTAGTAAAAAACTTCTGCCTGAGCAGACTCGTTTAAATAAGATCTCCATTTGTGACCAATTCCATGCAACATCACCTGCAGATTTTTTTTGTCTTAGACTCTTTCTGCTATGGCATTGGAGAGCAGTTGCTAAATCCCTTAGGCAGGTACAAGAATGTTTTTCTGCGGTGCAAGTTTCACAGAGTCGTCTTTTTTTTTTTCTGAGCATTACAGCCTACCAAAAAAAAGCGGTAGATACAAAAAAACTCAATCTTAAACAGTGCTTCTTCAGGGTAACACCAAGTTGCAGATTAATGGAGAATGTCACCAATGCACCACACATGGATGCACACTCAAGAGGGGGAAAATGAAAAAAAGAAAATATTGCAGCACTAAGAATGAAAGGCTTTGCCTTCATCCATGCTAGGTCCTATCCGGATGGCCAGCAATTTTATCTGTCAGAGTTCCGCAGCTGAAGCAGGACAGAACAATGCAAAGTCTTTCACAAGGGATACATTTACACTAGAATAGAAATTAAGAAATGCAGCAAAGCCCAAATAATATTTTGCACCAGCAAAGCCCCTTGTAAGCTTTGGCAGTTGAATGACACAGAAAAAATCTGTATAATCAAGCACATAGTGAGCTATCCACATCTTCTCCCCAAGCTCCAAATGTCCAAATGCACTAGCACTTCATTAAAAACCACCTAGGAAATGTTATCACACTCAGAAAAAATAGGCTTTCATTATTATCATAAACCACAAAAACTCACAATGCGCTCATCTATTCATTTTTAACTGGTATTTACCTGCATTATGCCATACTGCAGACGGGAGAAATGGTTTCTTTGGTGCGAGTTGGTAGAAAGACTGTTGAGTTGTCAAGTTATGATCTTTTAATATCGTACGACAGAACCTAGAGAAAAATAATTTTACTAGCAATTTGCAAATTACAAGTTCGCACTACCCCACAGAAAAAGAGTATTTCATGTGCTTCTAGCAACCCCAGAACTCATCAAGACGCTCACCTACCTTAAACCTCTCTGACAATGTAGCAGGCTCACAGGCTAGATCACAAAACATCTGTTACTTTTTCCCCTTTTCAGTGCTTCCTCTCTCTCATTTCATAACAAAGGAGACATAACTCTCCAATTTTAGCCACCTAAAAAATTAATCTAGACTCCATCACAGTCACTAAAGGCAGGCAAATCACCTTACTTACCTATAACAGAAGAGGCTAAATCACCCTAGGGGAGCCTTCTGTCTTCCCTTTGACAGCACCTGGAAACCTAGCTTGGACTAAATGTCCAATTCTCAGAAGACTACAGACAACTGAGATGAATCCAACCCCAAGCACCTGAGGCTAAATCAAGGGCAGAATTTACTCTTATACTCTGTGAGTTCAGCTGGTCAAATAAGTGGCTCTCCTACATGACTCTTGGAAGACTGAAGACAGGCTAAAAAAGTAATGCAATGGCTACTCTTACACAAACAATCATCATAGGAAAAAATGCCAGGACATTTGGTTAAAAGATAAAAAGTCTATTAGCTACATGTACCAAGCCGTACCTCGCCCCTGTCCGCCTCTGTGTGTTTCTTCCCTTTGGGGAACAAAGAAATTCAGTATATTCCCGTACAAGTACTGTTCCAGAATTCAAGTGGACCAGTTAAAAAGAGGCCCTGCTCCATACTGGCCACATAATTCACACTAGCAGTCAAAATTGTGGTGGTGTCACCTGCTCAGATGAAGGCAAGAGGGGGGAGAGCAGAGGGGAAACAAGACAAAAAGCAAGGCAAAGCGATGGAGTAACAGGCCTAACTTTCCAAAGCGTAGATACTCGCTTGCACATCGGATTTTGGTAACTGTACGCACAGCCAGCAGCATCCAGGTATTTCAGAGCAAAGTGGAAATCAGAAAATGTAACCAAAACCCACCTCGTGTCACAGACAAATATTACATATACAGAATTAATTATTCTCTGGTTTCTCTCCTCCTCATCAAGTACAGATGGAGGGAAGCAGGTAAACCAAATTACAACTGCAGGGGCTGCTACTAAGAGAGGAGACGAATTCTCTCAGGGGGTGGTAAATCAGAACACGAGCACTACACCTAGACCCAGATCCCTCAAACACGGGAGCAGGAGAAAAGCTCTGCCTCACGAAATGGACCTCCTTGCTGTGAGTGAGGGGGACACGAGCACAGAAAAGGTCGAAAACACGTTATTAGCTTACTTTGTGCAGGTACAGAGACCACAACGGGATGTGTGAGGAAGGAGCCCAAGAGAAAAGTTCTCCTTTCCCCCTTTAGCCTTGGGGACTGAAGGTTATACTCCACCGCCTGGGGCAGAAGGTTTGCCCACGGCCACACGGTCCTTTGAGTTTCCCCTCATCGCAGAGTCTTCAGCACCTCTGGGGGGAATCTCCCCTGACGGCTTGGCCCTAAGCACACACGCGGGGGCAGTGAACGATCCCGCGCACATGTGCGGGAGCCGCCCCGCGCCGCACGGTCAAGCCCCCCCCGCTACTCC